CCCCCCCCCCCCCCGCCAAAAGAAAAAGCATGGTTGTTAATTCCAGAGGTTGAAGCACTAGGGGGAACAAAAGGAGGAATTCTTCAGGGCTGGAGCTTTTAACCCAGAAGGAGAAAATAATTTCTGATTATTACCTCCGAGGGACCCGCGGGCCTCCATTTAAGAGAACTTTAAAACGGCAACTAACGGCCACCACCGGGGAAAAGCAGCGCCTCAGAGACCACGGCGCTAAGCCTGCTCGGTGGCCACCACGCGTGCGCAACAACCGTTGCCAGCGGGAGGTTACGACACCCCTCACGCGCGAGGTCAGTTAACAGGTCGCGGCCCCCCGCCCGCTGTCTCTTTATTGGTTCAGCCTCCGATTGGAACCTGCTGGTGGGCGTCCAATAGAGGATCTCCTCTGGCAACAAGCCCCACCCCCTCCCCAATTCAAATTGGGAGCGGAAGAAAATTGTTCTCTGCCGCTGGCCGTAGGAAGGCTGTAAGTCGTGTAAGAACGGGCGGAAGTTGATTAGAGGGTGATGCTGCTTTCTTAGGGCTTGGTGGGATGGTACGTATGACCGGGAGCCTCCTCTTTCAGTGTCATCAGTTCTCCCCGGAAAAAAGGCAGAACAGATAAATCCTTTTTTTTTAATTATAGGATGTTGTTATTATGTCACTTGTTATTTTATTTTAATTGTTGTATACCGTCCAGAGTCGCTTTGTGAGATGGGCGGCTATATAAATGTGATGTGCATTTGAATATTTTATTTATGTATACAAGTGAAAAAGGGACAGTAGGGTGACAAGGGCAAGCATAAGAGTTTTTTGGGGGGAGGAGGTCTATAGATGAGTGATTCCATTAATTTGAATTATTATTAGATTCTTGTCCTGCTTTTTTATGTATGCATCTGGATTACGCACACACGTACACACACATTATACACACACACACACACACACAGTATATATGTATGCCAACTCAAGGGGGCAAACATGCCTAATACTCCTGCCTTCTATTTTCCCCACGACAACAACCCTGTGAGGTGGGTTGTGAGAGAGAGGGACTGGCCCAAAGTCACCCAGCCGGCTTCCATGCTTAAGGGAGGCCTAGAACTCACAGTCCCCTGGTTTCTAGACCAGCACCACTACACCAAACTGGCTCTCTACAATTAAATAAAGAAGAAATGTGGTTGACGAGTTGAGAGACTGAGCAGCTGCAAATCAGACATTTCTACCCATTATTGCTGTTAAGAATCAAAATACATTTCAAGCTATCTATACTTGTATGTATTTGTACCTAGGCTGTGTTTGCACAACATACTTGACTCAGCCAAACTTTACATGACACACTGAATGTGTGCCAATGAAGGTTCCAGAAACTGTGTGCTGCGTATGGGTTTTAATTTTAATTATTCTTCCCTTCATGGCACAGTATTATCAACATTTTGTCAGGTCCCATGGCCAGGACTCCAGTAAACATACAGTGCATTTATTATTTATTTGTTATAATGTATATACAGTGTGCTGAGGCAGTGTGGTCCACCCCATCAGGTCACCTGAAATATGTATTTATTGACTTGATTTATATCCTACTTTTCATTCAAGAGCACAAGGCACTCTACATAGCACACCCTCCTCTACATTTCAGTGAGTTGTTTGTGATGGCACCTAGAAGAGTTCAGCTAGAATCCCATCACCTTGACAACTTTCTGGTTAAGGATGATGAAAGTTGTAATACTGAATAGCAGATCTGTAAGTTTGGGGACAGCTGATAAATTACTGAATAAATTGAAAAAATATAATTAAAATGGACATGTCTGATTCATAAGAACTTGGGGGAATGTTATTTGGTTATTTATTTGTATTTGTATTTTTACTGCGTGAGCCACCTAAAGTCACATGTGTGAGATGGGTGCTATACAAACTGAACAAATAAAATAAAAAATAAAATAAATGTGGAAATAGGGTAAATAGTCTGGTTATTTGAAGAACTGCCTATTTCCAAAAGTTTCTGTCCTTCTGGTGACATTGGGCAGAGTAGGTACACTTCAAATCCCTTTGATTAAACATAAGCCAATGTGGTATGTTGATCAAGGTGTGGACTAGGTCTGGGGAAGCTCACTCATTGACTTTGGACTCATCCCTCTCATTTAGCCCAACCTGCTTACAAGATTGTTGTGGGGGAAAATGCAGAGGGGTGTGTGCTATGTAGAGTGCCTTGTGCTCTTGAATGAAAAGTAGGATATAAATCAAGTAATCAGAAGGAAGTCTGCCTTCTTTGTCACAGCCTCTTGAACAACATTCTCCCAGAAATCTGTATGGCTCTCACTTTGATGAAGTTTAGAAAGTAATTGAAACCTGGCTGTTGTTCCAGGGTGAACTGGGGCAGGGCAGGTTGGTGGTTGAATCCCTGTAGGATGTTTGTTTTAGAGAGTGCGCCTTCTGGACTCATATGATCTGTTTATTTTTATTGTTTTCATTTTTTAAATTCTAAGCTGGCCAGAGTCATTTGGATTTGGGCAGCCTCTAAATTGTATAAATAAGTGTCTGGTTTTGAAATAAGGGATTCTAAAATCTCTTTGGACAAAGTGACATGACATGAATAAACAGGATCATTGGTTTTGATGATGTGTCTATTTCATAGGTGCTCAACATACCTTCTGCATTTTTCTGCAGCAGTTTAGAAATAAAAATAGCCTTTTTTGACCTGCTAATGCCTTTCATATATCACAACTGAGCAACGTGGAATCCAGGATCACATTAGGTTAACAGGTCATTCACAACACATTTGCATTTCTGTTGCCAGCATGTGGCTTTTTAATGATTAAAGGTATTCATTATGACTGGCCATGAATAGGATCCAGAAATAGAAAGAGCTCTCCTGTTAATGTGTTCTTAGATAGAAGAAGCTCAGTTAGGTCAAGCCATAACATTCACACTTTAGGAAGTTGATTCAAGTTGTTTGTAATTAGAATTTGAAAATGCAAGTATCTGCAAATGCATTAAGGTAATACAACTTTTGAAACCATAAAAGGTGACCCCTTGGATTCTAACCTTAGTCCCAAATCAGGAGACAAGCAAGATTGAAGGATATTCTTGTGGTTTAGGGGGAAAGGGTCTTTCTGCTCTTTCAGAAGCATCACTTACTCCTCTCCTCTTAGGTCTTACCTAGAAGATACATTTTCCCCAGTTTTCAGCTAATATGACAATAGGTGCCATAATATTTGGACTAGTGGTTGCGCCCATGGGCTGGATCCTGATGTTGGCTGCGACTGTAACACCACAATGGCGTGAATTCTCCCAAAGACCTGGCTTCCCTCAAGATGTCTCCTTCAATGATGGCCTTTGGGAGAGCTGCATGGAAGTGACCAGTATACAAGCCAAGATATGTAAACCTGTTCCAGAGGAAATGGCCATTTCTTGGCTGCTCCAGATGAGGACTTTCTTCTTTCGGTGCTGGTTGGCTTCCTGAGTTATGTTCTTACTCGCTTGGGAGCCCGCTGGTGGTCTCACCAGCCGAACTACTGCCTTACAAGGGGTTCTGGGCTTTTCCCCATGCTTTCTGGAGTCTTGTATCTCTGTATTACACCTTACATGGCATACAGAGCTCTAGCAAACATTGCCAATCTGCAGAGCCCAACCAGGGACAGCTATCGTCTTGGAACATGTCTTCATTTAGGTTGGACTGGAGGAGCAGCAAAGACCTTGGCTGGCACACGTCTGATGGCCATCAATTTCCACAGCAACAGGTTACGGGATTTGCCGTTGCCATATCGTGTGGATTATTAAGGTACGTAAGACTTTGGGGGACAACAAAGCAATAACGGGAGCAAAATATGCTGGTGTTTTTCAAGCCAATCGTGTTAGCACACCCTGGCTTTGTACATACAAGAAAATGATTGATTCAGTAAGTAAATTTAGGTGGTTGTTTCAGCAGAAGCTCTATCTGTGATAGATACACCTTCCCGAAAAGGATTTGCAAGATGTGATGCTGCGCTTATTGTGGACATAATATTTTGTCAAGGACAGTTCTCTCCTTTAAATGTTTCCCCAGTCCAAGTTCCATTTGAAAGTTAACAAACATTAAAAAGTATGGGGTGCAGCAGACTGAATGTTGCAGCAGTACATCTAGCAAAAGACTGACAGTTGTTCCTCACTATGGAGAGATATATTTAATTTACAGCATTTCTAAACATGTTTGTATATATCAGCACGTGCATCTTTTACTCTTTTGATTATGTGCCATCAATGTGCCCCCGGTTGCATTTCTCTGGTATAAAATAAAGATAGAGCTGCTATTATCCAAAGGAACATGGGCATTTTTGAGAGCAATGGACATTAACTGTTGAGGTGCTATTTGTAACTCCTCCAACATATGCATTGAAGAGTTTTTACATCTTGAATGATTGAATACAGCTGAGTTCCAAATTCATCCTCAATTTACAAGTCAAAAAAGGTAACTTAAAGAATCAACATGGTAAAAGAGGAAAAGAAATGGATCTAAAGGACTGAGGTTCATTATCCTTATACATCTATAAATAAATCAGCTTCGATAAATCAGTGTTTCCCCACCTTAGCAACTTTAAGATGTGTGGACTTCAACTCCCAGAATTCCCCATGCAGCATGCTGTCTGAGGAATTCTGGGAGTTGAAGTCCACACATCTTAAAGTTGCCAAGTTTGAAAAACACTGATTTAAAGCATATACAGTAGATGCAAGCCAAACACTTAGCATGCAGGTCGCCTGATCAAAGTTTCCCCTGCTCTAGTGAATGCCTTGCATTTCCATTTACAATATACACTTTATCCAATTTACACAAATTCATATTAACCTGCAAATAAACCTTGCAATGGTCTCTTTTTGATGGTGTGTATGTAAACTCAAGTCAGCCATATCTCATTTGGAAGGGAAACAAACCAGGCATTCTAGTACAGAAATAAAGCATGAAAGGGACTTCCAGAGCTTAAGCAACTCAGCTTGACTGCAAATGATCATTGACCAAAGCTAATTGGGGAGGTCATGGCAAAATTGAGCTTCACAGGAACTTTGCTGCTATATTCGGTGTGATGGCTCAGAATCCAAAGAGAAGAATAGTGCACATTTATGGGATGCCCCAAATTAAAGAAATTACTTTTGAGAGCAAAGCGCTCAACGCACTCGAGAATGCGATGCACAACGCACCACACAAGATATATAGAGAGAAAATTTCAGTACCGGCTCTTTTCTCTTCTACATTTTATGGATAGGTTAAGGAGGAGAAGGCAAAACAGGCCCAGAAGAGATCGATCAGGTTTCCTTAAAAAAAAAAAAAATGGTGGGGTGTGGAAAGAGAAAAAGAATTAGCTTCCTTTAAAAGCAGATCCAGCCGTTCCGCGGCAGCAGGTTTGCAACCGAAACAGCCAAGTGAATGGGATATATTGGTACATTTAGGGGAAAAACAGTTTGTAGTAGTACAATTTGTAAGAAAAAAACAAGAGTTAACCCCTGGAGGGCTCAGCATTTTCAACAATTGCAAGGATTTTAAAAAATAAAAATGTGAATGTTTTTAAAAGTTAACAATTCTGTCTGGGCTAACATACCATTTTCGTCTTGCTAATCATTCTGTTGTATTGCAGCTGGATGGCTGAATACTATTTTGAAAATGAAAATAAGGGAAAAATCATCTGTTTGACCTATCTTTAGAAACATATTTTAACATTTATTTATATAACTCATTTCTTACATGTTTACAGTACCCTGCTTCTAGTGCAAGCTGGTTTTCAATATAAACTATCGTGACTGAAAACCACAAACTGTGGTTTACTGTGATGTCTCTCAGTTGCTAAGTATACCCAAGAGAAGGTTTCAACTTGAAACATGTTGGAGGAAATGGCTTGTTTTGAAGAAATCTGACGGGCACAAAGTCTGTGCTAGTCAATGCCAGCTCTTTCCCAGATGTTTAGCCCCCAAAAGCCATCTCCTGCTTCGCTGGTCTTCCACTTTGCATAGTCAGGAAATCTCCAGTGTTACCTAAAAAGCCAACTACCTTTCTCAGAAACTGCCTTTCTCAGTTGCAACCATTTTTGTAATCCATCTCTCCAAAATGAGAGAACTATCTGGAGCCAGTGTTGCTGTCTGGACAAAACTTTGGGGCAGCCCCAAATGTAATCCCAATGCCACCTAAAGATCCAGAGTTCAGAAATGACAAAACCGCACCTCTGTCTGATGCTGTGTAAGTGAAGCTGGGGGAAGAACTTTTTAGCCCTTAAAGCAGAGGTCCTACAGACAGATGTTACGGAGCTGCAGCTGCCTCCAAGTTGAGGTCGAACCTTGAGTCTATTGCATCATTGTCTTGGCTCAGCTTTTTAGCCCACCACATCTGTATTTCTTGGTATAACTCCTGATGTTGTTCTTTCCAGCTCCTGAATTTTTCAGAGGTCAGTTCAGTGTCCTCGAGTAGAATGTCAAGTAATTGGAGCTCAGCAGTTTTAGCCTGGGGAAAGAAAGGAATGTTCTGACTAATGCTGATGGATGACTCACTTTTACAAGGACAACAGAGACCAGAATAGCACAGCAAATTGGAGTGGCTTTTAAATGTTTTGCTAGATCTCTTTCAAGAGAGACAAGTGCTCACCACCATTACAATTTTGTCACAAAATATTTTGGTGTCTTGTCTAGGCCCACACAGTTGAGGAAGTCCTTGTAGCTACCAGCCTCACTTGGCCTGGACACCTGGCCTGTACCAGACAAGAGCCCAGATGGGCACTAGACAAGAGCACAAGAATCTCCTTTGATAGTCAAGATTCTCTGGTCCCAGATTGATCAGGGTTGTAAAAGGTCTGCATCAAAACCTGATCCAGAAACAACTTGACAGTGACATATCAGCGGTATGGCAGCTACTTTGATTGAATGAGAACTTCAGTGACTCTACATGGTACTTTCTCCATTTACTGGCAGCAGCTCTACAGGGTTTCAGACATGTTTATTTTTCCTAGCTGGAAAACCCAAGAATTCAACTTGGGATCCTCTACTTACTGATACCCCAATATATGTCATCTGAAGCACATTCTCAGCCTTCCTAGTGATAAGTTCAGCCACATTCAACATAGGACCTTATAGACATGGGGCTTCAGCCTTGTTAAGCCCCATTAAGGTTTCAAAAAGAGGATTCCCTTTGTGAAATCTTTTCAGGAGCTAGCACAACACATAGCAGTTAGTGCGTTGTCCAAAGCTTGGGGAGATCCTGAGTTAAATCTCTATGTAGTCATGATAGTGGACTAATTATGCTGTGTCACCTCTCTAAAGGATTATTGTGAGGCTAGAGTAAGCAAGAGATGGAATCATTTACGCTACTGTCTTTGCAAGAAAAGTAAAACATGATATGATAAAAATAAAATCCACATTTCACACATTTTCTCTTTTCCATGCTAGGATTCAAGGAAAGTAGCCATTAAAACTAAAAGAGGAATTCCATCTTTTGTGCTTGGTTAGTGAAGTACATCTTGAGAACTATGTGCAATCTGTAGCTTGGCTTCTTTACCTGTATCTTCCAGAACTCTTTCAGTAAGCCAAAAAACCAAAAAGGAACCCTACCAAAACAAAAAACAAAACCCCAAACCCCCACTCTGAGGCATCTACCCCCCAAGCAGAGTTGTTTCGTAGCGCAAAGTTATGATCCACCTGCCTTGAGTGTGCTTTGAAGGGTCCGAATCAGATGTACTTTCTCGTTGATCTCTGGGTTCTTATTACGTTTGACAAAGGATTTCCGGTAATATTCACGGGTGAACACCTGCTGTTTCCCAATAAGTGATACTCCCCCTTGTTTCAGACACTTGATCAGCGACTCGAGTTCTTCTCCTGCTGGATCTTCATAAGACACAAGACACCACTGTGAACTAAAATGGCTTTCAGGATGCAGCTGGACAACAACCCAAAGAAATTAGAAAGGTCCCCGCAACTGCACTCTGCAGCATGGAGTTTAGCCAACTAATAGCAGAACCCTGAGAGATTTCATTTCAGGTGCCTAAGGACCACCAACTAACACTGCAAAAGGAAATGCATTCTATGGAGGCTCAGAAACATCCTCTACTTCCAACATGTTTTGCTTTTTCAGGGTTACATTTTTTCTTCAAGCTTTCTCTCTTCTAGAGGCTGTTTATTTTCAGTTTAGGATCGGGCAACTTATAGCCTTCAGATTAATTTCTGTGCAGACTAGTAATTCAGACCCTGGCAAGAGGCATGAAGCCAGCCTGCTACTTGGGGAAAGGAAGACAGACAGAGGAAAGGGGCAATAGAAAGAGAGAGAAAGGGGAATTTTCAAGAACAGAATGGCACCACCTACTCACCTTTACTGGCATGTGGGTGTCCTAAATAATAGTACCAACGGAACACAGTCTCAACAGGGAAAAAAAAAGGTTGCCAAATCTTTATTGAGCTACTGACCCATGCACACACTCCCTGTCAGTTTGGCAGGGGAAGATGAATATTGTAGTCTGAAATATTTGGGCGATGCCCATTGGAGAAAGCTGGCCTAAAGTTTTGTACCAATCGTTCCTCCATCTCAGTCTATCAGCTTGGATGTTGGTCCGCTCAACTGCTCTAGCTTGCCTTCCCACACTTATTTGCCTTTGTTAAGGGAACACTTGAGAAAACCTACAGAAAAACCTGCAATATTCCACTCTTCTGCTCCAGGAATGAGGTACAATTATAGCTGACCTTTCCAACATCTTGCCTGCCACGTTCTTTCCAGTGCAGCTTGGGAAGGTACCAAAGGTGAGCTCACCTGGAGAAGAGGGAGATGCTGTTTTCTCATCTACGGTGTTCTGGACAAGTGGGCTGCCCAGGGGGTTTGGGCTATTCCCTGCAGCCCCTGCTGGCAATGGAGCTTTCTCCAATTCCTTCTGCTTTGGCTGCAAGAAACGAAGGGAGAAAATAACGGATGCAGAAGGAATATCAGTAAGTATGACCCGCTTGAGCTCAACCTCATTACATCCTCCATTCTTCCGCAGCAGTCTCTTTAACAGTTGCACTGCAACCCCTTCCAAACGCATGGGTTGGGATATCCACCCTTAAGTTTGCATGCTGGAATCAGGGACATTTTGGAAATCACAATATCCTTGTTACATTTACCTACCGCTTCTCATTTCCTCAAAATAATAAAGTCCCAAATGAGTTTATAATAAGCATCAAGATATCTTAAAGTAAGAACAACTCACTGTTTTTATAATTATGTTCCATCAAGCAGTTACTGACCTGATCAAAGCTCTGCCGAGGAGAGTCCTCCTCAGGATCCTCTCCTTCTGTTTCACTGTAGCAATCTGGATGGGAACGAGTCCAGAGAAAAATATTTGAATGGAAACTCTGAAATGGGATAAATTGCACCACACCAGCCTTCTGCCCCCATCCTACTGTCCTCTGGATGTGTTGCATTACCACTCTCATCATCTCCACCCACCATGCTCCTTCCCTTTTCTTTCCTGATCTTAGCTATGCATGCCTTTGTATCTGTGTATATGCATATTCCCACTTCCACTGAAGGTGAGGACTTGGAGAAATGATCCATATCCAGGCTGATATCATGTTGGTGAAACCAGGTAGATACCAATATCAATATTAGGTTGAAATATGATAATGGAGGCAGATTACTTTTTTCTATTCTTTTTTTGGGAGGGGGGGAATGGAACTGTCTTAAATTCAAGGTCATCTTGCTTCTTGCTTTCAGGTGAAAAGCTTATTTAATAAATTTGATGCAGTTGTGTCATGTCTTATGTAGTTGGCCAATAGAAAATGAGATTCTTTCAAGAGGCACTCACCTTCTTGGTTAGGTGGCACAGATTTACGGGACACTGTATAGTTTGTCATAGACATGATCAAATGGCTGACCCACCTGGGAAGAAAGACAGCTTGTTATTTTCCCAGATCCCAAGATGTTTTCCTCACAACTATGAATATGAAAATGCTGAAAACAAATCTGTCTCCAAACCGATTCCCTTTTATGGCTTTATTCCCAAACGTTTATGCCTCTGGAATTTGCCAAAGCCCTGCAGCTTTAAAAATTTGTCAGCAAAAACTTCTGATAATGGACATACCCTAGATTTCCTCATGTCTTTGGTAATCCCTAGCTGGAATCAAATTAGCAAAGCTTTCAGAGAAAGCTGCCTATTTATAGTGCTTTCCTTTCATGTTTTATCTCATCAGCAATAATCCATTTAGATAGGAAGATACAGAATGAAAATGCCATTCAAGCTGGGGAAGCACTTTGGCACTTCTTCAGGTTTTGATGGAGGTAGCTTCTACACCAATAGTGATGGTCCGTGTTTCTTCCTAGATCAATCCCCTCATCATCCTCTCCCATAGCTGAGCATAGACACTGCCTCCACCCTCATTCTCATGAAATACAATATTCTAAACTTCCATAACTTGGATTACAAAACCAATCTAAAAAGGAATTGTGCATACAGATGAATTAATAAATCATATACAAGTTCATAGGTATTGCCAGTTGGGGAGAGGGACAAGAAGTGGTCAGGATATAAACATCTTGATGAGAATTGTTTAAGATGTGGACAGAGATGTGTTTGGTTTTTCAAAAATAAGAAGGAACGGCAATGAAACATACAGACATTTTGCAAAAGGAAGAAGGGAGGGAAACAGCAATGTATGAGAGCCAGTTTGGTGTAGTGCTTAAGGAACTGGCCTAGAAACCAGGATACTGGTTCTAGGCCTCCCTTAGGCATGAAAGCTGGCTAGGTAACTTTGAACCAGTCCCTCTCTCTCAGCAAAGCCCACCTTGAGTTAGTTAGTTAGTTAGTTATTTCTCTCTCTCTCTCTCTCTCTCTCTCATATATCTCACACACATAGCAGGAATGAGTGGATGGATGGATGGACGGATGGATGAGACCTGTGTCTGAACCAGTATTTCTCAACCTAGGCAGCTTTAAGATGTGTGGACTTCAACTCCCAGAATCCTGGGAGTTGAAGTCTACACATCTTAAAGCTGCCAAGGTTGAGAAACACTGGTCTGAACCATCCAAGCCCTACTTCCTATGACCCTCCATGATGGAGTTGCATTCAAGCCTTTGGGTCCTGATAACAGTTTCTGAAGAATCTCAAGCTCTTCATGAATGTCTGTCAAATGCATTAGAGGGTATTGACTCAGTCTCTGGGGTAGCTTGTAAGATGGAACACAGATTGGTTACTCACATGCTCAGGTCAGCCAGGGTTTCTGCTGCAAAGATGAAGGGCTTGTACTTCTCATGTGTGAGCTGGAAAACACTGGGGAGGAAAAAAAAGTGGCAGCAGTGAGATTTCTCATGATTCCTTGCTGTTGGGAGTCCCACCTATGCCCAACTATCAATCTGGACGGGTACAGTTGCATATCAAGGCTTGGAAAAGATTGTGTAGCCAGTATGTTTTTCTTCTTTGCCCAGGAAGTGTATGGATAAGAAAACTATTCCAATCAATAGGGAAAAGCCTTGTTCACAGTTGCAGCCAGCCAACAGTGTCATTTCTTAGAATACTTTATTTCATCCTATCCCATCTCCTTTCCAGGGCCCTCTCTTCATTCCCTGTGACAGTCAGCCAATACTCCATGCCAGTGAATTTGCTTGGTCCACAAAGTGCCATTTTGAGTGCTTCTACCGCGGAGCATCCTCCACCAACGTTTTCCCCCTGAATTCTGCAAAGCTTAGGGTTCCCTCAAGGCTATCCATAGTCCCCTCGCACGTACAAATGGTAACCTATTGGCGGAGTAAGGATTTAACACAGAAATCAAGTTTGCTCTTAGTACCTACACCTTGCCAGTTAACAAACCAAATGCATTTGGAGCTCACAGACTGCTGAAAGATCTCTTCCAGCTGTAATCATGGGAGCTTAACATAGCTGGAGGACTCTGACATTGGAGAAGGCTGATTCAGGGCTTGTTCCTTCTAGGAAAAGGGCTGAAGGGGGCCACTCAGTTTGCACTCACTATTTCTTTTTCTGTTCCTTGGTGCTCTCCAGTCTGTAGGCAGACACGTTGATCAATCCCACAGCCTTGTCATCCTAGTTTTCAGAAGAGGAAGAGAGCATTGACAAGAAGAAAGAGATTGCAGTATTAGTCTTCTGCCACAAACAGAAAGATTTGGGATATTTTAAAGACTTTTAATCTATCCCAAGTTTTCCTAAATGAAGCCAGTCTTCATTGAATGAATGGAACAGACTGAAGTTCACCCAATGAAGGGGACTTCATCTATGGAAGCTTGTGATACAATAACATTGGCTCGTCTTAAAGGAACAACAGAGAAGCAGTCGCCTACTGAACTGTTCCCTCTTGTACAGAAAAGTTCTGAAACATTTGGTGACCCAGATCAGAAAGCCAAAAACCCCTTTAAGGGAATACATATTGCCTTTAAAAAAAAAATCATTTAAAAATTCACTTGTTTTTTTATGTTTGCACCCTACCAGGAGCAAAGGCAGCAAATGTAACACTTCCTCTCCACCTTTCCCACAACAACCTTTATGAGCTAAGGCACAGCGACCCTTAGAGTCACCCAAGGATCTTCCATGGGTGAAGGGAGACATGACATTGGGTCTCCCAAGTCATGGTCCAGCACCTTAACCACTGTACCACACGGGCTCTGTGAGGAAGGCTAGCTAGCTAGAAATGTGGATGTCATGAGGCTGGTTAAGGCCAGGCTAAAACAATCCCTGATTGACTGATTGATTATCTATCAGACTTATAGCCCACCTTTATTTTTTACAACTCAAGGCAGCATACATAATGCTTCCATTTATTTTCCACCCAACAGTCCTGTGAGGTGGACTGGGCTGAGAGAGAGGGACCAGCCCCAAGTCACCCATTTGGGTTTTCATGCCTAAGGAAGGACTAGATCTCACAGCCTCCTGCCCAGCACCTTTGTCACTACTCCAAACTGGCTCTCTTTCCTGTAGCTTCTTCAAATCTTTCTGGAAATGGAAGGGCAGCATTTTGATTTGGGTCTTCCAGTCCATGTGGTGGGCACATATCAAGCTTACATCAGGACCACATGAAATGGGAAAACATACCCTCCTGGACTTGACATTTTGCAGGATTTACCATTTCCTGGTGTAACATCAATCAAATGCTCAACCTCTAACACAGGATTTGTCAACCTCAGCAGCCTTAAGCTGTGTGGACTTTGACTCCCAGAATTCCCCAGCCAGCCATGGGAATTCTGGGAGTTGAAGTCCCCACAGCTTAAGGCTGCCAAGGTTGAGAAACACTGCTCTAACATGATATAAGTGTGGGATCTTTAAAATAGTGCCCTTGCTCATTTGCCCAGGCACTCACTCACAAACCTACAATCTTGGCTTATTAATTCGTTGTTGTTTATTTAAAAAAAAGGTTTTTAAAAATAAATGGAAAACTGATACACTGCAAAGTAAAGTTCCCGCTCTAGCATCTGTTTGAATTTACTGGTTACCCTAAGGTGTCAATGTTAGGTCTTGGAATGCACTCACGTTGGGGTTGCTGTACCAGTAAAGGTTGTGTCCCTTCAACACAAACCAAAACCGTTTCCATTTCTGGGCCATGAAGCCCACGTGGTCTTTCTTTTTTAAGAGCCAACTGTCACAGTCCACCTGTCCCAGTTCCTGGCAGGAGATGCGTCGTCGACTTAGTCGGGTAGTGACTCCTCATTAAAGCAACAGGAAAAAGAACATTGCCTAACACATTTTTAAAAGGCCTGAAAGGACACACACACACCACAGTTAAGCTGAATTGATGCAACGGATGGACGGAATTGAAGAAACGCCTGATCTCCCCCAGTGTCCACTTGTGCAAACACACGTGCACGCCCACACACGTGCATTTCATTTTGCTGACTTTCGAAAGAGTTAACCAGTTCCATCCTTCTACGGACGGTGCTATCTGTGGAACAGAATGAGGCGTGAGAGGTCTGCGACAAAATGTTGCAGGGAGAAAGGCTCGCTCTACGAGGCTCCATTTCCTACCCTGAAGTTGTTGTTTTTACAAAGGGGTCTGCGGTCTAAAAGACTGTCGCTCTTTTAGAAAAGGCAAGGAGACGCTTGGGACGGTGGAAAACCATGTTATGTGGGAAAAGGCTGAAGGAACCGAGGATGGTTAGCGTTGACTGAGATATCTGAAAGGTATCTGTCACACAGAAGAGAGTGTAAAGGAGGTCTAGGGTATAGGCTAAAAAAACGAAAAACACAGATGAACATTAGGGAAAAGATACCGACACTCAGAACAGTTGGATAGCAGAACCAATCTGCTAGCAGAATGGTGGGATTCCCTTCAGCAGTTATAAACCAGTGTTTCTCAATCCCAGGGCCTTTAAGGTGTGTGGACTTCAACAATTCTGGGAGTTGAAGTCCATACCTCTTAAAGTCACCAAGGTTGAAAAACACTGATATAAACAAACTGAAGCCTAACAACAGCTATCAGTTGGGAAAGTTGAATGCTGCTTCTGTAAAACATCCCTTCAGGGAGAAGGCTAAGTTGAATATCTAATTTTCTGTATGAACTTTTTTGTCTCTTTTTAGTCTTTCCTCGAAAGGTGAGATTGTCTACATTGCTAGCTAGAAATCAATATGAACAGCTAAAACTAATCAGTGCCTTCTTGGATCTCCATGGGGGGCGGGGTGTATTAAATCTTCTTATTCCTTGATTTAAGGGGACCATCTTGCAAAGGGTACTGAACTAAAAGCAGAGCTTGATATTCATGCAACCTGCCCACAGTGAAAACAAAGAAGTACCACTTACCTTTTTGCTTCTGTCGGATTTCAGTGCTGCCCTGAAGGGATCACCCAAGGAGAAGAAAACACGGTGACGTGGTTGACAAGGGACTTGAAAGATGCTAACCAGCCCCCTTTCAAGAATACAATTTTCCATCCCCTTTTCCCACGAACCCAGTTTTTCTCAGGCTAGGTGGCAACAGGCTGGGGAAGGCAATATTTGCATATCAAGCAAAAATGTTTGCAAATGGTGTCGCACTGCGGTGGAACTTCTCCAGCCTGGAGGCGAGATCTGCCTTGCAAAAATGCTATTCAGCCTGCCAACCTTCTGACTAATTCATGCTGCTTAATATCCATCCCTTCTCCTGGCATATGTTGAGGATTTATTTATTATTCTGGATTTCCAGTCAAGGGCCGTGATCAAGTTTTGATACGATTTGATATCTCAACTGGGGTGGTATCTAAAGCCGCATTTGAGCTTCCCCATACAAGGCACAGGGCACTGTTGGGCTTACTCCCTGAGACAAGGACTGGGAAGATCCAAGCTGAATCCTCATGTATGGAAACTCCCTGGTACTGTGTCGTAGGGAATCTACCGTACAAATTTATATATAAAAGTGATTTGATTTTTTTCTCCCTTAACCTTTTTGTGCCAAGGATTCTTGAGAGTCTGGTGAAACTCTAACCAGTTATGCTCAATTATTATGTTCTATTATGCTCAAAGACAGTTATCAGAATATTTCAAAGTAACAAATAGGTAATTTACTAATATAAGTGAAAATAAAGCTGTATTTTTTCCCATCCAAATTCACAGATCCCCTGAAATGTATCCAGGGACCTCCCCCACGGGATCTGGGGACCACGGGTTAAGAACTCTGCCTTAGTCTCTCATAGAACCCCATCGTGTTCTTGCAAATTTTTCAAAATTTCAGTTTGAAAACCCTGGCCTGGAGAACAGAATTTGCTCCCTTTGCAATCTGGCAGCTCCAGTCAATCTTCTTGTTTAAATGCAAAATGAAGACAATTGTATTTGAAGTGCATTTTTCCCCATATTGCTTCTGTTTATGAAGATGACAATGAGGGTGATGATTTTGGTCCTGCTTCTGAGATAAATAGACAGATAGATCAGGGTTGAACTGTGGAGTTCTTGGTGCTATCTGAGCTTGGTTGATTGCTTGCAGACATTTCATTACCCAACGAGGGTACATGATAATGATTACATGATAATCAGTGATATTACCTAGTTGGGTAATGAAATGTCTACAAGCAATCAACCAAGCTGAAAGAACACAAAGATCTATCTATCTATCTATCTATCTATCTATCTATCTATCTATCTATCTATCTATCTATCTATCTATCTATCTAAACATGTTGCAATTCATGGGATATAATAATATGTGTGTATCAATTATGTCAGTTATACAATTAAAACAAAAAATACATTATCAGTGGGCAGAATTCAGGTTCTAAGGGTTAAAAAAGTACCCATGAACAATAGATTAAGAAGTTGCAATTAAAATCAAGAAAAAGTAGATTTACAAAGGGAGTTAAGAGGATGTTATAGGACCTTTGCCTAGTATTATTCCAACTGTATTGTTTGAATATGAATGGATGATTCTTATTTATCTTATGCGACACACCAAGTGCTTTTCTACTATAATTGACTAATATCGGATAAAACTAAAGTCTTTGTGAAGAAAACAGATGGATGTGTAAGTATAATATACTGGACGTATAACGTATTTAGACATGGTGAGTATTTGCTTAGAAGAATCTTTGAAGACAGTTTGATTGAATCTCTCAATCAAGCTGACTCTCTGAATCAAATTAGGAAATGGATTTGAGTCACTGAAATGAATGACACTGAATTGATCTGGATAGTTTTGCACATTTTTGTCCATGTGCAGAGCCAATTTTCTCTGGATGTGAACTAATCAACCCAATTAAATGATTTCATTCGGACGTCTGCATTCAATCCATTTTGCAAATCAAAAATTAAAATTTAGCATTTTTGCACAGTCTTAATATACATGCATCTCATATAAAATGCTTCTTATATAGACATCTTACCCTTGAAGGTGTTAGTCCTAAACAAACCAGTAAGTTATTAAAGAAGAAAGCCTTACCTCTTTGGAAACTGCTGATGGCAGTTGTCCTCTGACAAATCCGTTCTCGGGCCTTGCAGAGTCTTCCAGTTGATGCTCCTGCTTCCTGGGATTGGAAGAGACGGCAGGATCTGGAGATTTATGTCCCATGGCATCTGCCCCAAAATCCTGCCTTTCCAGGGCAGGGTCAACAAATGCCTCTGGAAAAATCAGGCAGAACAAAATAAAAGCAGTCAATAAATTAGACCATTTTGGCAGGATGCTCAAATGGTGGGAATGTGCATGGAAAGATGATCTCAGCAGGTGGGAGGAGCAAATCCGTTGGCTGCTTCCAAACGTCGTGCTCAGCTTGAGAATGCCATACGTGGCAATGAGCTTACAGACCTTTGACATGGCACCTGCCTGGTTTTCTGCTCCATTTGAATATTTTTTTGTATGTTGTTCTAGGGATATGGGGGCAAGGGATGATAATGGATGATTCCTGAGCTCCATGGGAAGCTGTACAAAGGTAATATATAACTCAACAGCTGGATGGAGGAGTCCAGGAAGTTATGATAATTCTGCAGTTCTTCACTAGACCCAACAGATCAGGGTCCTTACCTGCTCCAGAAAAGACCTCCTCCAGGCCACAGGTATTACCCACAGGATGCCTGCAATCAATTCCTTTCTGCTCCTCCTGAGTGGTAGGAAGATCGAGCACAGAATTCTGGGTTCCATCAAATTCAGCAGTCATGCTTTGACATGAGAAAAAAAAATATAAACGTTGATCTGTTCTATTACATAACAACTACATGTTGCTTACCAGAAGCCCCCATGCCAGATGTTATATGGCATTCCAGCAAGAGGAATGCATTTAATGCCAATTAAGGAAAACATCTGAGTATTTGTGGGCACTGAGAATTAAAAGTTTGGATGCTCCCCCTTCTCTTGGCACCAAACATCATGAGATGGTGGATCTCCATTTCAGCATATCAATCCTAGTTATTCTCTAAGCCAGCCTTCCCCAACTAGAGGTCCTCCAGATAGGTTGAGACTGAAACTCCCATCATTCCCTAATCAGCCTCCAGCTATGCTGGTTAGGAATTCTGGGAACTGCAGTCTCAGCATATCAGACAATGCCAAGCAGGGGAAGGCTGTGTAATCATTAGAACATAGGAATAAATCTGTAAACTTTATCCCAGTTTCTTTTAACAAAACAAGCAAATGGCTGGGTGGTTTTCCACCATTCTACCTCCCAAATAGCTTATGTATTTATCAGCAAAAGAATTTAAAAAATAGTGTGTAATTCAGCAAGAGCAGAATCCCATGATCTTTGGACTGGTGGGCAAATAAATGTTGAGAACTGTTGTGGACAAAATGGCTGGTGGCGTGGGCCTTCCCATTCACCGAACAGTAGCTGTATTGGACATAACCATGTACAAAACATCAATTTACCAGGATATTAGCTACTACTCCCTCCTGTATGCCTACTTTTATTCCTTTTCTGGGTGGTGGGGGGCACATTTCCAAGCTTCTGGTTGAAACATCCCAACCCTTGAATTGTCTAAGAAAGCTCATGATACCCATTTGGAGTCCAGATGCATTGCTGGATTTGATGCAGATAGAGGTCAAATAGGTCAGGGAACTGGGCCAGTGTCCCCAGAGACATTTACAGCCCCCTCCCTCTCCCCACACATTATGATGGGGATCCTGTTTAAGAAGATGGGAAAAAATAGAGGAAAAACGTCTGATTTTATTACTGGAATGTTTAAAGTGCAGCCAAGCTGTAGCTTGAGTAACAGGAAGGGGGAAGGTCACTGATTTTTTCAAGAGATATTCCATCTGTTCATTGGAAGAGAAGATGGGGCAAGTTCCAACATCCTCCTTTGTGGTTTCATTCCTACTGAAAGCTTGAGTGGAAATGGCATTGCATGTTTTGTTGCAGTGAGTAAGTCACGTCCGCAGGAGTGTCATGAAGCAGCTTCTTCTAGGAAGCCTGTAAACCAGGGTTCCTCAACCTTGGCGATTTGAAGATGTGTGGACTTCAAGTCACCAAGGTTGAGGAACCCTTCTGGGAGGTGAAGTCCACACATCTTCAAGTCACCAAGGTTGAGGAACCCTGCTGTAAACAGTTTCTGGAGAACTTCTGATTCTGCTACTTTTATCCTCTCCTATTGCTACCTAGTTCACCAGCAAGGGAGCAACAGGGTAGAAGGAAAGCAAGAAGCCATGACTTGCACACACCACACCCCCTAACTCTGGGAGGTAGGCTAGCCTGGATCCAGAGGAAATGGGAAACAGCTCTAGCAATTGAACAGCCTTACAGATTTCAACTCTCAGCATTTCTACCCACAAAGGCATTATGGGACCGTAAAGCCAACTCATTGGAGGGCTCCTGGTTGGAGAAGCTGGCTTTGGCCAACCGAAGTGTCTATTTTAAGTCCTGATTCTGATTACTGTGAAAAGGAATGGGTTGTGGGTTGTCTGGTCTATCATTATTGCATTTGCTTGCCAGGAGAGAGAGACAGAGAGAGAGAAAGAATAATATATACATGAGGGATATACGTACATGTAGAGCCATTGGAAGTCAGGTGGCATATAAAATAAATAAATGAATAAATTTTAAAATAATGCATATATGTGTTTATGGTGAAGGGAGAACTCTGCCTGGGGTCCAGCCTGGGATATGATGCAGCTCATTTTAGAGAGGGTAGGAATGCTGCCTCATTTATTGGCTAGGATTTATATCCTACTGTTCCTGCAAAAATTGAAAGCACCTCATAAAGTACTCCCTCTGGGACATTTCCCATCAACAACAACCCTGTGAGGTAGGCTGGGCTGACAGTCCCTGGCCTGTTCATTTAACATAGACTTTACACTTAACACAGTGTTGTTCCCAAACTGCCCCCTTTAAAAAAAGGGGGAAACCACCCCCCCCACATACCCCCCCCCCCCCATCCCGGTGGGGGGGGGTG